AGAACTGGCGACTTTCTAGTACAACTTTAGTACGCGGAGCAATCTGTGCAGCTAGAAGCTGAGAACTGGGGACTTTGTAGTACAACTTTAGTACGCGGAGTATCTGTGGAGCTGGAAGCTGAGAACTGGCGACTTTCTAGTACAAGTTTAGTATACGGATGAGGCATCTCTCGCTGCTGAGTCATCTCTCGCTCCTGAGTCCTGTCACACTGCGGAGTCATGTCTCACTGCGGAGTCATGTCTCGCTGCTGAGCCATCTCTCGCTGCAGGGTCATCTCTTGCGGCTGGGTCGTCTCTCACTGCTGACGTATCTCTCGCTGGGGAGTCATCTCTTGCTGCTGAGTCATCTCTCGCCGCTGAGTCATCTCTCACTGCTGAGTCGTCTCTGAAGAGATCACCGCTGATTTCGACGACGACGAAGGTTACAGGCGTGGAGTACGCAAGTTGTGGGCTGGGACGCTGCGCTGTAGATGCGTGTTGCGCTGTAGGCATGGAATGAAGGCATGAGACGAAAGGCAAGCTTTCCGCAGCCGTGTCCATGTACTGTACACTGAATGCAGAGCGTGAGTTTAGAGACACAGCAAACACGCAGAATCAGACGAATCACAAGCAGACTGTCAGAGTTGGTGCGCGAGTGTTGAAGCACTCATGCTTTTCTGCGTGGCGTGTGGTGTTGTGACCTGCGTTGCGGTGGAAATTGTAAATTCGAAGTCCTCTGTAACTAAATTCATTCCGACGCGCGGTGGTGTGACCAACGTCATGTCACCACCCTCGTAGCTAGAGAACCACCCCCGCCGCCCGTTGTTCCACCTTGTCCAGCCCTGCCAGAGGCGCTGGGTGAACCATTCCTGGCTCTTGTCGGGAGGCATCGATCTGCGTGCGTCACTGTGGACCGCGCAGACAGCCGGAAAATGCGTTGCCCGACGAGGAACAGTTTCGCTGTTTTTGCACGGAGGAGCACACCAAATGTTGGAAGAAATGGTTTTGACTTTGAAAACACCACCCACTTCGCGTGCCCGCAGCAGCTGCATTTAACTTTCAATTGCAGATGCCCAGTTGCTTCAGCACGCCGGTGTGGGCTGCTGATCTTGCCTTGGTATAGCACAGACCTTGCACAGGTGGCACTGTGGTGGTCAAAAAGTCCGGAGGGCGTGCGACTGACCAGGGACACGCATGTTGTTTTTGTTTTGGAACCCGTCCAGTCGGATTGGGTTGCCTGGGTATGATTTGTTTTG